TTGTAAGTCATTCTGTGGATTCCAGTCAGAGTCAAAAATAATAACAGTATCTGCTTCACTTAAATTAATACCAAAACCACCTGCTCTAGTACATAATAAAAATATAAATCTATTCATTTCTGGATTCATAAATCTATCAATAGCATTTTGTCTGTCTTCTGATTTAATACTTCCATCCAATCGTTCATAAAAATATCCTTTATATTTTAAATACTTTTCAATAATATTTAATACTTTCTTTAATTGACTAAATATTAATACTTTATGATGATCTGCATATAACTTTGGTAATAATTTATCTAATAACACTAATTTTCCTGAAGACCTTATTAATTGATTAAAATAATCAGGACTTCCCTCTGGAAATTGTGCAGTATCTTTTTCTTCAACACCAGGAATAAGATAAGGATGATTACATACTTTTCTAAGTTGCATCATTAAATTTTGTAAATTAGGAACATTTGATCCAACGCATCCTTTATTTAAAAATTCTCTATTTTTTTCATATAATGCACGATAATATTGTTTTTGAACCATTGTTAATTCAACTTCAATAATTGTTTCTTCTTTAGGAGGAATTGATTTTTCTACTTCATTTTTCATTCTCCTTAAGAAAAATGGTTTAATACTCTCTTGTAATTTATTTACTTGTTCTGCACTTTTATCAAGTGAATTAAATTCATGATCAAATTCTTCTAATGATGGGAATGTCTTAGGTTCAATATAATTTAATAATGTCCATAATTCTCCAAGATTATTTTGAATTGGTGTTCCAGTAAGTAAAACCTTATGATTTGTTTGAATATTACATAGAGCCTTTAATAGTTTTGAGTCCTTATTTTTTAAACGATGTGCTTCATCAACAACAGTTACTAACCATGATATTTTTGATAAATCTTCCCAATCACTAATAACTATTTCATAAGTTGTAAGTAACACATGAAATTTAAGATGTCCAGGTATTAACTTTCCTTGAAAATCTTTATAATACCATTCATAGTATTTAACTAACTGACGATTACCTTTTGATCCATGATAAATAACTACATTCATATCAGTCCATTCTAATATTTCACGGTGCCAATGCTCAATCATAGATAATGGTACTACAATAAGGAATGGACCTTGTAATTTTTGGAATGAATATAAATGCTCTAAAAATGATACTACTTGAACTGTTTTACCTAACCCCATTTCATCTGCAAGAATACATCCTTTCCCTCTACACCAATTAAATACTAACCAATTATGCCCTTCTAATTGATATGATCTTAATGTATTTCCATGTTTATAATTTGGTGACTCAACTTTCTTTTGCCAAACACGTTTTGGTAATGGTGCAACAATTGAACATTTAGAACGTTTTTCAAATTCATTTATTTTTTCTTTATCAGAAATATCATTAACATTTTCCCATGTACATTCTGTATATGGTAACTTTTGCCATTTAACTAAATATCTTGTTCGTTCGGTATTTGCAGAAATAATTCGTTCAATTTCTGTATTTTCTATTGGGAAAATATCCTTTTCTTCATCATTATTTTTCTTTTGTAAAAATCGTTTTATTTTTTGTTTATTTCCACTCACATTTCCTCCTATTAATAAAAATTGTTCTTCTGATATCCATTCTATATGGAGATAACTCAACCCTTTCCATTTAACACAAATTAATTGTTTTCCATCTTCTTGTTTGATAGCTAAAATCTTTTCAAAGACTTTAGAAGCTGAAGGGTTATCTATAATACCATTTTCAAATACATTTTCTTTCTTTTTCTTTTTCTCAAATTCAAGATCATAATCTGAATCTTCTTCTTCTTCTATTGATAATGTCGGGATTTTTCTTTCACTTCTTGAACGTAAAACATAATGTGACTCTGTAGGAACTTCTTCCTCTTCTGAAAAATTTGTTTTTTTCCTTCCTTTAGGTTTCTGAACAGGAATTGATGTATGAATTTCATTAAATAATGATGGTAATGCATGTTGTGTATTTCCTCCTGATGAAGGTAAAATACCAGGTCTTATTTTATTTACTGAATTATCTAATAATGTAAGTTTTGGTAATTGTTGTGGTACTTGTTTAACTAATGGGTTAATTAATCCTTTACCTAAATGTGTTGCGCTATTAGTGAATGGTAATGAAGGTAAATTTGAGGCATCAAAAGATTTTGCCATTTTCAAATAGCTATTTAAATTATCAATTCTCAGTTTTTTCAAATTTTTGCTTTTTTCTTTTTAGTATTGCTTTTACCAATAAAAATTTTTAAAACTTCTAAAAAACCCTGTTGATGACGTAGCGTATAACTGAACAAAAAAACAAAAGGAAGAAACAAAAATATGAAAGATACTAATTTCTATCACTTGAAGAAAAAATTAATGAATTAAACAGCTTTGTGAATAATATGAAAATATAGAATAAAATTTTAAGATCAAGTTCTTGATATGAACTTAAAAAGATAATTACAATTTGAATGGAAGATTTCTATCATATCATATTTATAGTAACAGCTTTTATTCTTAATGCAATTAATCTCGGAATTAATTATCATTTTGTGATATCTGGAGAAGAGTTTAAATCACAGTCTATTAGTCCAGTTGATTATTGTAATGAAATTAACCCATTTATTCGTTTAGAAATTATTATAAATGTATTAAATTTAATTTGTTATATTATTCCAGGTGATTATATAGAAATTGTATTATGTCTTTGTATTTTCATATATTTTAGTTATTTGTTTGTTATTTATTTCTTTATTATTAAAGAAAAAATAATATACTTACAGTTATAAAGATATTATAAAAAATTTTTGTTTATAAAACCAATTAATGCACAAAGTTATTTAGAAAGAAATGAGAGTGTTGGATATCAAAAGATAGTTTATTATTTATTATTAATTTTGATATTATTAACAAGATTAATACTCATTTATCTTACTAATTTTGAAGTTAATATTTTCTAAGTTCTCTTGTGTTACTTTTTTGTCCTTCAAAGAAAGAAAACCACAAAATGAATGAAAAATATTACCACTTTGTCGGTTACATAAATTCATCTGAATATGGGAATGAAGACATTTTTGCAAGTGTTCTTTCTACATCTACAACAAGTGCTTCAGCTGACTTTGCATCATTTCCTAAATCAAACTCCTCTTCTTCTTCATATTCGTTATCATCTTCAATGTCATCTGACACGTCCATTAATTCAAATTCAATATCCTCAAAATCATCTAATTCATCATTTATTTGATAATCACTTTCATTTGCTATTGTTCCAATGAAGAATAATATAAAGAAAACTACAAAAAGCATATTAACACTATGATTTTAAAGATCTTTTTAAATTTTTTTTCTTTTTCTTTTTTTCTTTTTATTTTTATTAATAACAAAAAAAAAATATCACAAAATTAAAATTTTTAAAAATAAGAAATAAAACCCTTTTTACTTATTTTATATCAATGGCAATTGAATTAAAAGGTGCAAAAGCATTCCGTTATCGTATTGTTTTATCTACTTTACTTGGTCAAACTATTAGGATTACTTCTATTCGTGAACAAGATAGTAACCCAGGGATAAGAGATTATGAAGTAGATTTTTTAAAATTAGTATCTGAAGTAACTAGTGGAGCACAGATTGACATAGGTAAAGATGGTACTTCAATTTTATATAAACCAGGGATTGTGAATGGTGGTAATTTTCAACATACATGTAATAATGGAAGGTCATTAGGTTATTACGTTGTTCCATTATTACTTATTCTTCCTTTTGGTAAAGGAAGTACAACAATTACATTAAATGGGATTACTAATGGAAATGATGACCTTTCAATTGATCTTATTCGATCAACAACAATTCCTTTAATCCAAAAGTTTGGGATAGAAGAAGATATGCTTAATGTTAAAGTCATTAAACGAGGTGCTCCTCCTGTTGGAGATGGTGAAGTTCTTATTAATTCTTCAATTATCAAACAATTAAATCCAATTAATTTAACAGAACAAGGACTAGTACGTTCTATTCGTGGTGTTGCATATTCAACAAAAACATCACCTCAAATGAGTAATCGTATGGGAGAAGCTTCAAAAGGTATTTTAAGTCAATACCTTCAAGATGTATATATTACTACAGATCATTGGAAAGGTAAAGAAGCTGGTACTTCTCCTGGATATGGTGTTATATTAACTGCCAGTACAACAAATGGTAATATTATTTCAACTGAATTATTTGGTGAAGCTGGTAATGTCCCAGAAGATATTGGTCAGAAAGTAGCTTGTGGGTTATTAAGAGAGATTGAAACAGGAGGATGTATTGATTCTATGCATCAACCTTGGTTATTTATTTTAATGACATTATGTTCTGAAGATGTAAGTAAATTAAGGTGTGGTGATTTAACAGCACAAGCAGTAGAATGTTTGAGAACTATTAAAGCATTAACAGGAGTTACCTTTCAAGCTCAATGGGATGAAAAAACAAAGACATCATTGTTAAGTTGTATTGGAATTGGATTTTGCAATTTGTCAAGAAAAATTCATTAATAGCTAAACAAATAACAAATATCATTCGAACGAATAAGAGAATACAAACTAAATTTGATTGATTTTTTAATTAGTTAAAAATAATTATTTTTTAATTTATCAATTTTTTGTAAATTAATTTTTTCATGAAGTTTAATTTAAAACTAAAATATATTTCAGCGTTCGATGGCAATGGAAGTGTTTCACGAAAGACTTTTATGTTTTAGAGAGAAAATGAAAGAAAAAGGAATTACTCATTATTTTTCTAAATTATCTGATCCTCATATGACTGAATATGTTCATCCATATTATAAACACATTGAATGGTTATGTGGATTTACTGGATCAAATGCGACAATTGTTGTTAGTCATGATGTAGCTGCTTTATGGACAGATGCTCGATATTATATTCAAGCTGAAAAGGAATTACCAAAAGAATGGACATTAATGAGACAAAGTGATTTAGGTACAATCACACCGACTCAATTTATTTTAAATGATGGAAATGAATTTCTTGTTGGTTTTAATCCATTGATTACTTCTTTTCCAATGCTTGGTCAGATGTTTGATAATGATAATAATAAGTTGTTAGAGTTTGATATTTTTAATGAACTTCAACAACAAGAATTAGTATTGGCAAAAGTAGAAGAATTTACTGCTTCTGGTTTAACAGTTAAAGAAAAATTAGAATTAGTTAGAAATGAATATCATTTAGGTACTTTAATATTAACAGCATTAGATGATATTGCTTGGTTATTTAATATTAGAGGAACTGATATTTCTTTTTCACCTGTAGCATATGCATATGCTATCTTAAATCCTAATGGATCTTTCTTGTTTACTGGAAATGAACTTGAGACAAAAGAAATTCAAGAATTTAAACAATTAAAAGAAGCGGGTGTAACTGTATTACCTTATAATAGTTTCTTTCAGTTATTAGAAAAATTTATGTTTGGACCAACTATTTATTACTCTGAGCCGTTTACTAATCTTGAATTATTAGACCGTATCTATGACTATGAAGAAGGTGCAGAATTAATACAAAAATTGGACTTTATTCAAATAACAAAGTCTATTCGTTCACCTAAAGAAATTGAAAATATGAAACAACTTCATATAATTGATAGTATTGCTCTTTGCAAATTTTTTGCAACAATGGAAAGTAAAAAGGGTACTCAAATGACTGAATGGGATGCCTGTGAATTACTAGAAGAAGTAAGAAGTAAGAATTATCAATTGTATAATGGTCCAAGTTTTGAGTCAATAATTGCTACTGGTGCTAATGCTGCTATAATTCACTACAGCCCAACAAAAGAAAAGAGTAGTATTATTGATTGGAATAAATCATTATTATGTGATATTGGTTCCCAATATAAAGAAGGATGTACTACTGATGTAACAAGAACTGTTCATTATGGAGAACCTGATTCCAAAGTTAAAGAATGTTATACTAGAGTTTTACAAGGACATATTGATCTTCATAATAAAACCTTTACAAAAGATACTAAAATAAGAGATTTAGATCATTTTGCACGAGACCCAATTATTGCAGGAAATCCTCAATGGAATTATCGACATGGAACAGGGCATGGAGTTGGATATTATTTACTTGTTCACGAATGCCCGCCTCATTTCAATAATGATTTTCCATTTCAAGTTGGTATGACAACAAGTATTGAACCAGGAATTTATATTGAAAATGAATTTGGAATAAGAATTGAAAATGTTGTTGTGGTTGTTGAAGAAGATCAAAACCATTTAAAATTTGAACCATTTACATTAGTTCCTTATTGTAGTCGATTAATAGATATTTCATTATTAACAAAAGACGAAAAGATATGGTTAAATAAGTTTAATGCTTCTATAAGATCAAAAATTTTACCTCAAATTAAAGATGAATTAACTCAAAAATGGATAATTGAAAATACTCCAACATATGAATTAAAAGAATATGAAAATTAATTTATTCTTCTTTCTTAGATTCAATAATAAGGTTCTTTAAATCAGTTACAGTTTCACATAAAAAATCACAATGTTCTTCCATTTCTTCTCTAAGAAATTCATGTCCCTTTCCATATAATGCACCAGCCTTTTTAACTCCAGCATTTTTTGCCATTTCTAAACCTGGAAGTAAATCATCAACCACTAAAATATCTTTTTTTTCTAAATGGTATTTCTCAAGAACATCAAGAACAGGAAATGCATATGGCTTACATTTCTCAGGTGCTTCTTTATTCCATCCATAGACAATATCAGGAACAAATTCTCCATTTGTTTCAGAACGATAATGTCTTAATATATTTTGTTCATCTGAAAATGATACTACTCCAATAATCCCTCCTAACCTTCTAAATTCTTTTAACATTTCAATAAAACCAGGAAAGAAATGTGCTGGCTCATGTGTTAAAGTATATTGTCTTGAACTATTCACTTGTTGTTGAATTTCATCTTCAGAAAGATGAAGGTCTTCACGGTAATAAGTAAATAAACCTTTATACCATAACATTTTAAACCATTCTTGGTATGTTAGTATATGGTCATTTGGTCTTGTTTTCATAAATTCTAGATAACAAGGATAATGGATGTTAGGGGTTGAATCAACTGAAGTATCATCATGGTCAAGCATGAGGCATTTAAACTTTAACATGGAAGAAAAAAGTCTTAAAGTTCTATCCTTTTCAGTTCACTCCTACAAAAAGACAAATAACAAAAAGTCAATACACTTCAGAAAGCATAAAGGCTTTTCTTAAACAAGAATATTTTTATCCATACTTCCTTTCTGTAAATTAATCCTATTATCATTATCTCTATATTTGTTATTTTTTTATGGTTTTAAACAGAAAAAAAATAGTTATTATCAATATTTATATTTTTCTTTTATTCTTTTTATTTCAACAGGAATATTTTAATGATAACAACCATTTTTTGGCGTAACTTTAATTGTGAAGAGTCACATCTTAATAAGTTTCAAAATTTTGTTCATTATCAAATCTTCTTCTGTTTATTGTTAAGCTGATATAAAATAGTCTGTTTAAAAAGAGCAAGAAAAACCCAGGTTATTATTAAATACAATTTTTTGTAATACCTACAAATAACTAATACCTTTGTGAAAGGTTTTCATATTTAAGACAAAAAAATGATACTTTCATTAAAAAACTAACAAAAAGAAATACCACCTAAAAAATAATTTTTAAGGAAATAAAAAAGAATGTTTTGTAACAAGGAAGTATGTATTTCAAAGGAATATTATTTTAGGTTTAGTTTAACAAAAAAAAATAATATGAAAATAAAATAGAAATTCAAAACACTTCTAAGTAATTATTTTGTTTGCCTCATCAAAATACACAACCTTTTTTTTCCTAAAAAGCCAAAATTCCTTAAATGATATGTTAATCATTCATAACCCTTGACTGAGTTAAGTAAAAATTCACCTACTCCACTAGCCTGAAAATAAATAAAATTACTTATCATAATTCTTATTTCAAATAGGACAGAAGAATTATTCTTGAATTCTTAAACAGTAATTTACATTAATAAAAGAAACCAGACAAGAAAAGACAAAAAGAAGAATAAGAAATAATAAAATAAAGGAAAGATAGAAGAGTAAGACAGAAGAATATTTCATAAGACACAATCTTATAGTCATAAGACATAAGGGAATGTGAAATGAGTTAATCTTCCTGACGTCACTAGTGTGCAATTAAAGATTGTACAGCCGAATAAGTCAGGAATGAAAGAAAAGGAGATTTTGTGAATAAATAAAGGATGAAAGTTCTAGAAGGAACAAATAAAAAAACAAAATGAATAGAAAGAAAGAGAAGAAAGAAAAGAGAGAGGAAAGGAAAAAAGGAATGGAAAAGGAAGAAGAAAAGATAGAGAAAATGATAAAGGTAGTCAAAGGGATAATCAAAGAGCAAATCAGAGAAATGAAGAGAGGTGGAGAAGAAATCAGTGGAAGGATTACAAGAAAACGAGGAGAAGAAAGACGAGAAATCATCAGTTTAGAAGGGGAGACATCTTCATATGAAGAAGAGATTGAAATTGGGGAAATAATCAAGAGAGTGTTTGAAGTAAGGAAATTAGAAGAAGAATATTTTGGATTAGAGAAACGATATGAAGCACAAACTGATGAATAAGAATATATTTGAATATAAACACAAATATTTTATTGCAATTAATTCAAAGAAGAAACAACAATATAACACATGAAGAATAAATGAAATATTAATAACATTTAAATACTCTATATATTTGAAAAACATATAATGAAAAATAAAACACTAAGGATAAGACATAACAACTGAACAAGAGTAGAAATGTTCATTATCTACATACATAAGCAAAACAAGAAAACACATAACAGAAAAAATGAAAGACAAATGAAGATATAAAAAGACAAAAGTTATAAAGATCAAATAAATCAAATAAATAATAAGAAGAAAACATAGAAGATAATACACTATGAATAAGAAATCAAATACATGAAAAGAAGAAGATAAAGAAAACAAAAATCGAATAAGTCAAACATAAAAAAATATATTGAAATAAGAAAAACAAAGAATACACAAATCAAAAGAAATCAAAAGAAAATAAATAATATAAAAAGCGAATATAACAGAATACATCTATTTCAAGAAGAAGATAAAAAACAACATGAATATAAGAAATAATAAGAAATAAACATAACAAAAGAAATAGAATTAACAACAAAACATAGCAATAGAAAAATAATAATATAACACAAATAGAGAAAATTACCACTTAAATAAATAGTTTATAAATATTCAAAACATAGTAAAACATAGTAAATGAAATATAAATAACAAACAAAGAAACAATAAACACTTATAAAATAATGAATGAAATAAAACTAAATTCAATAGAAAATAAATCAACAGAATAAATTGAAAAAGAATATATTTAATAATTTTGATAAAGAA